AGGAGAAAATCAGACCACTACTGCTGTTGTTCTTTCGGGAACCCTAATAGGTGGCCAATGGCATTCACAGATAGTGTTTTATCCCAATACGCTGTATGCTCAGAGTACGTATGCCTTTCCGAATGTGATCCAGCCATTGTGGAACAAGCTCAACTACCTTTTTCACACTATAATTACTACGTCGTCTGCCGTTATATTCATCGACCATTCCGCTAACGTATACGTTATCCTAATCTCGAGTCCATCAGGCACTTATTCAGCGACAGATGTCGGTCACGGACAACCAACAATCTTCTTTTCGGTTGAGCGAACGTGTCCAGCTGGTACTTACAAGAACACGAGCGTTTTCACACTGTGTCTTCTCTGTCCTTATGGCACTTACAATAACGGTCTTCAGTTCAACACGAGTGTCACCTGTACTCCATGCACAAATACTTCCTTTTGTCCTCTGGGTGCCGTCGCTGAACTCCAAAGTTCTACGAACCTACTTGTTCCTGTTAGTCAGGCTGTTGCCTATCCCGATTCACCGGACAGTACTCGCTTCGATGATATTCTCATCTCGTCTGTCTTCAATACGAAGTTCTCTCTTCAATGTCTCCCAATATCTCCGTTTTTTCTGGTCTCTCATTCTTATAGCTCTCTCTCTGCTATTCTTTACAGTGTTGGAAAACCTCAAATTCCTCGAGAGACATACGAAGTTCCGCCTCTTAGCTCGTCGTTTCTTCCGGCACTGTGATCTAATACGTGAAGGTGAACTCTGGATCGGCGGCATCGTCTCTCTGGCAGTTATCGTTCTAATTACCTTTGCATTTGCCTTCAGTCATACCTTTGTCAACCAATATCCAATTGAGAACGTTTCGCCCAACGCTCTGCTTGCCTACGATGACTCTCAGATCAACGCAAAATTCACTTCGTCCTATCAGTTGCTCAGAGCCGCTCCACCGCCGCCGGAACAACTCACGATGTTCACAATGCTTGATCAACAGCCTCTAACTGTGAATGTCACTTTTCTAAACACGCTGTTAAGCTGCTTATCTGGTTTCACTGTCTCTCAATCAGATGGTCTTACTTCTACGCAACTACCGGCGAACTGTTCAGCGCGCGACAATGTATCACTCACTCTCACTGTTCAGATACCCTCCCACTTAGATACAACCATCTTCACAGTCACAACGGCCTTCGCTCTAACAGCTGGTGGAGTTCGGATTGGTATCCTTGGGCCGAAGCAAGTACAAGATAACTACGTCGTGCAACAGTTGGAATTTTACGAAGTTTTCTATTACGCTAACCGTACCCTTACGCAGAATCCATCAGTTAGCATCGAACTTCTCAAAGAGATGAACATCACACACCCACTCTCGAGCGATGGGAAAGACCAATATACGGACCTGTTCTTACCGTCTGCAGTTACCTATGATTTATCTGCGTTCTTCTACGGCGAAAATGACTACAATACTCAGCATACCAAAGACAATACAACCCTCTCCGTGACACTAACGGATTCTACCAATTACATCAAGAATGTCCACGATCCTATTGCAAAGCCATCAGAAGTTGTCTTAAACAATCTACTCTTCGTTACTATTATCCTGGATTTATTTGGCGTTACTTTCGTCCTTGTGAAACTGATGCTGGCACCGCTATCCAAGTTTTGTATGACGAGAAGAAATCGCATAGCCGTTCCCGACGAGCAGCCGCCGCCGCCACCGAAGGAGGAGATAAAGAATTCAAGCTTCGAACTCCAAGCGGTGGTCGTAGTAGCTCAGCAGAAAAAGCAAGCAACGGCTGATGCGCCTGCTCTTCCTCGTCGCTGCAGAATCGCAGTTGGTGATGCAGCCATTCATCGACGTACGCTGAGTTCAAGTTCACTCTGAACAAAAAACAGAAAGCAAAGATATCGAGCTAACATTTTTCTGTACTATTGTTTTTAAAAATATAACATAATTATATATATATACTAGCGGAGATACCCGATGACGGTTTGGAAAATTAAATCCAATCTTATTCTTAGTATACGCGTGAAAAACTTCCATTGCGCACGAGAAGATGTAGAAGATGCTGGTCCCTTGGGCTCCCCGTTGGGGAGCCCCGCCGTGCAGTCTGTTCCTAGACGGGCTAAGATAACCGATACGCTTCGATCGAAACAGACCACGAAGACAGTTGAAATAGCTCAAAACCTCACTTTCTAAATCCCTTTTGTCCGAGAGGACTACGGTGATAAATTGTACTTAGCAATCCTCGAATCACGCTGAATCTTGATTTTTTGCAAAGAAAGGCAGACAGCCAAATTTCTGTACAACAGGGACTTTTCCAGCAACTTGAGAGGACTATTTCTATGGACTAACGGCTGACCCACAGCCTTTTGAACCTGACAAACTGTTTAATCCTTTCCGATCGGATATTGCCAAATTGCAATGTTTTCCCGTGGGGGGTACGGCATTTTTCGAGTAGCCAGTCGGAAAGGGTTAAACTGTTTATCAGAAATTGGCTTTAACTTAACCAGTACGATTTCGAGACGAATGGACATCAGATTCGACCTCGCCGCCCCCAGAAACCCCTCCAGGACTATTTCAGCGACAATCTGATTGAGATTCAGGGATTTCTCAAAAAATGAATTCTGATTGGTTCTAAGTCAACCAATAGGATTTCACCCAAATGGACCGCAGATTCGGACTCAGCACCCTCGAAAACCTATAGTGACTTGTCCTTTATTTGAAAACTGAATACTGCAATTCCATTGGTTGGAAACCGAGGGGGGTCTTATGGGAGGGGGGGACTTATAATTTTCGGGAAAAAATAGCTCTCGACCTTCTCCTGGTTGAGAAGAGGATTCCTGGAAAGTTTGGCTGTACTGGCACGTACTGTGCTCAAATGCATAAAGAACAGACAAACAAACAGACGAACAAACAAACTCTCTTCTTTATATATTAGATAGAATATTAAAAGCCAGTAAAGGTTTTTTCCACATGACTGACAAATGATTTTTCTCTGATGGACAGAATGTGAATTTTAGACATGATTTTGACTCGCTTCGCAAACCTGTCCAACCTTACGTCCAGGACGTGTTGGACAAAGATAACATTTCTTCTTTATCTTGTTCGATTCACTATGGAGACCTTGAGGTGCCAAAGTTTCTTGTTTCAATTCATAGGCAGGTAATCTCAGAGCAAGTTTCGTTTTTGACGAGAGATGCGATTCTTGACAACGACGCTTGTGGTGTTGAATCATCCTCGTTCGAGAAACGTTCCTCTGTAGCTGTGTCGTCGGATTCTGTTTCAGCACCCGAAAAATCGTGGTCAGAACTCGATTCATCATCCTCCGAGGTACTACTGTCTAGATCAGTAGTGTTTTTCGTAAGACAGATCTCACGAATTCTCGTTCGACTACTGTACGACTTCATTCGCCTCATCTGGAAAACCAAGACAATGTCAGCCTTTCATGACGAAACTTCTCCCGTTTTTGTAATCATGCGTATGCCTTCAAAGAATGCAAGTCGAGAATTCCTAGTATTCGTCGAGCACCGCGGCAGGAGTTTTCCCGATAGATCTATGCGATGGGCACGAGATAAATATTCGAATATCTATGGGGAGAAACCAATTCACGAATCGCGTCAAAATTAAAATCACGAAAGCATAGAGGGTGGTTTCAACGAGAGTGATAATTACTGGGATAACACCAAAGCTGTATGTGGTTCCAGCTGGAGCGACCCTCTAACTTTTACTTTGCAAGGCAGATCAACGGAGTTTTATGTGATGTCTATCCGTCGTCGATAGACTAGCAGTTAGGACAAAAATCGACTCGAAAAGTATAGGCGTTCAGACAGAAACAAGAAATAAACAGTGATGTGGGTCCAGTCGGACCCACAAAAAGTATCCGAGGGTTAAAGGCATCGATATATCAACACTGTTTCTACCGAATATTTTTGGTGTGAGTGTGGCTGTATGTGTGGATAAAGAAAGAGACCCACACCCACATCCTTCCGTCATCATTCTGGTGTCGCCCTGTACGTCCACCAACTGCCTGCATGTTACTTTTCGATAAAGAAGTTAAAACAAGAAACAAAAGTGGTCTATACGCTCACTTCTCACAAGTCGTTTTTTGAAACAAGCTATTCGTGGAAACAGAAGATTATTGTCCCGGTCTGTCACTATTATAGATACAGCTGCAAAATGTCGGTGGGTGCGTCCCTTTATTTTATATATACAACACCTTCTTAGGAACAAGGAGAGAAAATGTCTTTTTCTTCGAAAAGTCTTCAAACTTTCGGTAATACCGGGTCATGTTACAGTATTTCTGACGATGCTGTTTGTGTTTCGTCAGCTGTTTTGCTATACTGATCAATCGTTTTGATCTCGTCGATATTTCTCTTCTCAGGTCCCAGTAGTATGATGATTAGCAGATACGTGTATGTACATCCTAAGAAAATTCCAATGACCTTTCCGTAGTCGTATTGTTTTGTGCTAGACGATGTCTGCAAGGGAAAATGTTGTCCAGCAGTGGCTTCGATGGTAGATGAAGCTGACGAGATGAGATTGCCCAGTTGATATGAAGTGCCAACAACGAACGAGCGAAATTGTACAGGTGCAAGTTCCATGAGATGAACGGGCACAACGCCCCAGGCACCTTGAACGCACAATTGCTGGAAGAATGCGCCAGCCATAATAGATGTGCTTCGTGGAAGAATGTAAGCGGGAACGAGAGCAGCACCGACGACGAGAACAACGATGATTGAGAAACGTCGACCGAAGAAACTCGAAGAATAACCAATCAATGAGCCGCCGACGATTGCACCGCAATTGGCGACAACCGTGGTGGCAGTGACGAGACTCTGTGAGAACTCCAACTGAGTGCTGAGAAAGGTTGGGTACAGGTCTTGGCTACCATGCGATAAAAAGTTGAATCCAGCCATCATAAGAACGAGATAGATGAGCGTGGGCCAGTAGTGTACGAGCGCAGGACGTGCTGCGTTGATGAATTCTCTCACTGCTGACACTTGGTGATCAGTTCCATCTATAATTGAAAACATTGGCATCAACGGCTAATGCCAGATATGGAACCAATTTCTGTATGACAGAAGACATACGATTAGAGAGTTCAAAACCGTGTCGTACATCTTCTACATGCAGAAATGGTTCGACATCTGGATTGAAGTTTAACTCACCTTTCACCGCGTTAGCTGCACGCGCTTCCTTAACACGGAGAAACGTTTGTGTCTCGGGTAAGAAGATGCGCCATAGCACAATAAGCATCGGGGGACAGCCTCCGAACCAGAAAAGTGCTCGCCAACTGTGAGGTTGGTTGTCCGTGATTGCCAAATTGAAGGCGGCGGCAAGAAGATAACCGAGTGCGTAACCCTGCTGTAGCAGACCTGACAGCAGACCACGTGCGGCAATGGGTGCATCCTCCAGTGCTGAAGCGGCACAATTGCCGTAGATACCACCCATGGCAATACCGAACAATGCTCGAACGCCCAGAAACTGCGCATACGTATTACAAAAGCCTGTGCAGATTTCGATCACCGAATAAAAGATAATGTTGGCGATGAAAGGCCACTTACGGCCAAATCGATCGCTTGCAATACCGAAGATAACGGCGCCGACTGAGCGAAGCATGAGTGTCACTGTAATGCCCCAAGTGATGTCTGATGCCGTTCTATTATACGTACTAGCAAGTCTGGTGATGTTGAGCGAAACAGCGAAGAAGTCAAAAGCATCCCATGTCCAAGCAAAAAGAGCCACAAGGAAAAAGGAAACTTGCTGACGACTGAGCATGCGAAGAAGGGTAATCGGATTTTCTGGTACGAGCAAGGGCGGCACGAGAGTCGTAAAGCGCGTAGCGAGGTATTTTACTATTCGCATCACTGTATATTTACTGTCAGACACAGTTGTCGTCGTTTTGATATATATGGTGACTATGAAAATGGTGCTTGTTTCTTGCAGTCATCTCATCGACACATCTGATGCGTGACCGTCTGATCATTTTTTTTCTTTTTTCGTTCTACTCGTAAAGGTGAGAGTAAGACATGTTTATTCGACGACACCGGTATGAGGCACGTCTTTTTGCTCTCAGCTACATAAATATTCAATAAGACGCAATAGGACTTGGCAATATACCTCAACATAAAAGACGTATCCTGTACTACAGTGAGAGAATGAAGAAACCAAAAGTGATCTGTGTCGGAGAGTGTGTCCTAAACGTTTTTTCTAATCACTATTACACTGTAAAAAAAGGTAGCGTGAAGAACGAAAAAACCGTTTCGGAGAGTGCAGCCACTCACGAACCCTTATCCACGTTTATGCAATATCACAAAAACCTCTGCAAATACGTTCTCTAATATGTCCGAGAGTCTACCACAAAACGTCTTTTCCACCATTTTTTGTTTCGTTCCTTAGTCACTTGAACCCATTTCGACCGTTTTTGTCGCTGAACAACCACATCGAAATCTTCCGTTTCGTGTGCTTTCCGCTACTCAGAGCACCGAAACTCGAGAGACCGATCAATCATCTCGTAATTATCCTACACTTTTCCGCAAGTATTCGCCCTTCTGATGCCACCTTGTTTCTAACTCAGCAAAATAGTTCGTAAGATATTACATCACTCACTTATATTTGCCGTGGATCGAACCTTCGCCGTCAGTGGACGTCAACTAAGTTTTACCAACCCATGCGGGGACCACGTCTTTCTGTCCATGAGCGAGAAGATTCCAATAATCATCGACCGTTGATCTAGAGAACCAAGAGAGATTCATTGGTAGAGAGAGAGCAAGGAATTTAACTCACTTTCGATCCACGACCGTGTTCGGATCATTGTCGATGATTGCATTAGACAATGAAGTGATTCTTTACGGAAAGAGAAGTGAACTTGGCTGGATCTTGATAGACACTGACCGTGTGGATTCTGAGACTTATTGAGTAATACTAAAAGTCATATCTGGTCGATGATGGATGTTAGATATATGCAGCAAAGATAAATTGTTCAAGCTCGTAAAACTGAAACGCTTCGAAACTTGACAAACAGACAATCAAAGTACTGGATGAAATGGCATTGAAACCCAATCAGTTATCAAGCTGAGTTTCGGAAATATCCAGTCGTAGAATCATAGACTTCAGACGATTCCGACCTAAATAAAAAACTAAATACCCGCCAACGTGGAATCGAGTACCTGTTATTTTTAAAAACCTTAGAAAAATGACGAAGAACCGTTAGATGATAAAACAATGAGCCGTGTGACGGTTTGTTCGAAACCGATCACCTAAACGAATTAGATGAAACCATCTGAAAAACCCTCTTAAATTGTGATAAACTGTTTAACTGATAAACGATCAATCTGTTTAACGGAAAAAAGGTTCAAGCGCTTGACAGGAACGTTTTAAAAGTATTCGAGAAATCTCTGAAAACCTCAAGGTTCACCACAGCACTTTTTTTTACAGTGTAACTAGACTATCCAGCATTCATTGACTTGAATCAACAAGTGTGTAACGTTGCGTTCTTACTAAGAACATCATAAGACAGAACTTAGTGAAAAGGATTCAGACGAGATAGAAACAATCTGTCCGCCCTCGTTAAAATTTCTTTCAACATTCCAATGCAAGGGCTACACGATGATAGAAACTAAATTTTTGACGCATGTAGTTCGGGTATACTTGCACGAACTTTCCGGACAACCTGATATATACATTGTTCATCAATTAGTCGTTGACCAAGTACTGTGCATTGCAAGCCACCTGCATTGTAAGCCACCTGCATTGCAACCGCCACATGATAACCACTCTTATTAACAGTGCTTATGATTTCATAATATCTGAACAAACCCACAAATAGTACGAATTCTTGAATAATATGTGTATTGATAATCGATAAATATGGTGCTGGGACCTTCGGCAATGTTTAATTATATATTGCCGAAAGTTCAGTAATTACGCGAATTAATTAATTACTACTAATTAAAGCTGTGCTTTTAATGTATTTTCGATATTTACAAAACTGGACTATTGCCAAAGTCCCGGTCTGGTATTTTGCGAAAATCCAACAAAAACACAACTTTCGGCAATTGCCGAAAGTCATGCTAACCATTAGAATGGCCACTGTTAATGAGAACACCAGATGGATGGTTATCTGAACAAACGCATCCATTGAATTTGAGCAAACATCGCAGGTTTTCTAAAGTTCATGGTATCACGTTTAATATGGAAACGGGGGAAATTAATTTTTTATTTCAGCCTGAATGTGTAATAAGTAAGGACGGATTATTCGATGTGAATGATGTTAAGGAAGTTTTAGCTAATGACATAACAAGTTCAACATTTACATTGGATCCACCGAACTCTGAATGTAGATGGCATCCATTTCAAGAAATGAAATATACACCGAGTGCTTTGTCGAACACAAATTATAAGAATACATTACTGTACGCAGGTTATTTGCTGAAAATGATATCTACAGACATAGAAGTTTGTTCCAAACCGCCATTTCAAATGCGTCAAATATCAAATGGTTTCATGAAACGGCTGCCAGAATGGCTACAAAATAAATTAAAACCAATAAATAATAAGCTTAAATTGGACAATTTACATAGATTTTGGATAGAAGCTCAAAAGATAACATATCAAGCTGATTCTAATAAAAATCGTCATTCTAATATTCTAACATATTATCTTGGAGATGTAAAAATGTATGTTAAAACACAATTAATGCAATATGATGAAAAAGGCCATGTAATCGGTGACACAAATGACCAATCTAATTCCAATGATTTGGTAGATGATTCGCCGGAAGCTCACTTTGCTAGAACATTTACAAAGTATTATGATCAAATTGGATTATATTTTCCAGAATTATTAAGACTGAAAGAATTACTACAATTATGAAAAATAATGAAAAACTACTTTCTCAGTTGCAGAATTCATTACCAGTGGAGTTTATTTTCGTATTAAGTAGCAAAGAAATCATTGATAAAACATTATACAAAACTTATCCGAAAATTCGTAGAATATATTCTAACATAAAACCACTCTCATTGACTTGAATTCTGATGTGGAAACGTATTACAGAAACTTGAAAGCTTCGAGCTTAATGAGTCCATGTATGAAATGTACATCAGAAATTCATGACGTATTTACCGATGTCAGGACACTGATTACTGAATTGAATTCCGACTTTGAACAGTATTACAGAAACTTTACACCACCTACAATATTGAGTCCATATGCAGAGCAAACATCAATGTACGATTTAACAGACGAACATATAACATTCATGTGGTATCAACTAGTGATCGATATTTTACTGCATTCATCTGAGGAAAGTGATGGTAAAAATGAAATGCTAAATGTTTGCCGAATACACTACAGAACTAATGAAACTTACTTACGAGGGAAGGTCCCCAACTGTCCAATCACTTTCGAGCGGAAACTTAGTGCACTACTCTCTCCTTTTTCTTTTTTCTTAAACTCTTCTTTCCACGTTTTCCATTTTATGATGTCGATCATTGAAAGAGCATACTTCAAGGGCCAGTCATTTTCTTAAAATTTGCGTAAGGAAAAATGTATTCCAATGGTTCTCTCCTATTGTTTTGGTAGGTCAGATATCTTTGAACTAATTTTCCATTTTAGGCACATTTTTGTTCTATACTTTCATATGGAACAGGAGAAAATATATACGAAGTAAAACGGAACAAATACTGCAAAAGTAACTTTTAACATATGTCTTTTATGGATATGACTCATACAAACGTTACAGAAAGTAGCAAAATTATCAAGGTCTAATAATCGGAGGCAGTAATTATACTTTTTTACTACACCGTATTGTAACAGAAAATTGAACGGTTATGATTAATATTGTCGATAAAATTCTCTTACCGATCCACCGGGAGTTTTACTTTCCAGGTCAAAAAGTACGAATTGCTTGTCGACGAATGAGTCTTCTTGGGAACCAATCCAGTTTTATTTTACCTAACGAAGTGAGATGCTGCAAATAGCTAAGAACAAAAAAAAGGGTGAGAAGTAGTACGCGGAAATCATGGTAGCTTACCTCATTTTAATTATCTACTTGGCAGCGGGTGTATTTTTCAGCTACTAGAAAGACTTATGTGAGGTTATTTCTTTCAGAATCGTTTTGCATCCAATGGTTAATAGCCAAAGAAGAATGTAACTGTCACTCACACTTTATTTCAGCACATAAACAACCATATATAGTATATTTCAGCTACAGGAACACTCCTTTGGGAAACTGGGGAAAACAGCTGTTGTACAAGAGAGAGAGAGTGAGAGAGAGAAGAATAGAAATGAAAAATCCCCATGGGAAAGAGTGAACAGAAAGAGAAAATAATACATCATAGAAAAACAGGATAGTGAATACATATAACAAAAGAACAGAAAGGGAAAATAACCATCGAGTGAAGAGAACATGTATATTTGAAAG